ATTTATTATCTCCTGAAATCTAACTCCTTTACATAAATTTAGCCATTGTTTGGTTCGGATAAAAATTATATTTTTGTTTGATTTTGATAAAATTAATGAAATATATTGTTAAAAAGTTGTGAATCTCATAAAATGTGTAGTTATATTGATTATTGATTTTGAATTAAATACATCAATTTTAAAGTTGAATTAACAGAGGCTTAGCATCATATGCATACTTCTTTTTTCCACAAAATGGCACTTGGAAATGAACGATAGTGGCTGAAAAGATAACTGACTCTAAATTTATCAAGAACGCGACTTTATTTGCATGCCCAAAGATGGTTTTCAATTCAAGAAAAGATAGGAGAAATTGGCTTATATGTACAAATAGTAAGGGTGTGATTAATTTCTGCAATAACATGTCTTCTCTCTTGTTGTCGTAGCAAGATTTATAATTCCATCCATTTCCATGCAGAAAACAAGCATTTAACCTTTCCCTGCTCCTAACTTGTTCCATTGGGTGTTTTGAGTCCCCGGCCCTTACTTGCAGAGTTTCCCGTGAGCCAGAAACTTTAAATTTAGCATCCGAGTTTGCACTGAACACAAGACACTTGAAATTTGGTTTAGAAGCCTGAATATGATAAGAAAATAAAAATTAATGGTTTCTACGTATAGCCATCTAAGCAAGAAAATATAGAGTTGTTTTCAGGAAACTTAGGATAGATAACTAGCTCCATATCTTCTTGTGGCACGAGTTAAGGGTGAAATACGACCTCCATTAAATATGAAATCAAATTAATAAGATAAGAGTTTGATCTACTCTTCTTAACAAGATTTTCCATACGGGACTTTACTCATGGCTGATTATGTTCATTTCCTCTTGCAAGTGTCCCAGCCTTACAATTATGGATATTTATACTGCTACACGTATGGGAGTATTTGTGATACACAAAATATATGCCTTTTAGGGTCAGAGAAAGTTGGGAGTGGTTAAGGAAAGGATTGTCAATCATATTCATATGCTGCCATCTGCAAACCTAGTATATATAATTAATATTTCCTGTAGGTACATCCGATAGAATTGGAACTATGTTAGACATGATAACTATGACTTCTGTGGAAAAACTGGTAGCATAATTGATAACTTATAATTTAATAATCATCGCCCAATAATGAATGATGAACTTCAAAATCCTGCAGCGAGTTTGATTGATTTGAAGATCTTATCATAGCAATTAGATTAAAAGAGAATTACCTAAAACTCTTATTTTCAAAATTGCAATTCAAAAACGAGGAAGGTAAAGTTTACAATTCAAAAATCAGGTGATAATATAAATTTAATAAAATTGTTAATAAATATTTATTATAACCCACCATCCANAGGTAAAGTTTACAATTCAAAAATCAGGTGATAATATAAATTTAAGAAAATTGTTAATAAATATTGATTATAACCCACCATCCACCCCCACCCCACCCCACCCCAACCCAACCCAACCCAACCCAAACCAAATTTTCATTCCCGACACCCACAATTCATCTCTCTCTCTCTCTCTCTCTCTCTACCCCCATTATCGCCGCCTGCAACCCAAAATAGGACTCGGTCGATGTGGGGTCGGTGTTAAAGGGCACGTACTTGGCGTAGAAGTTGTGAGTGACGTTGTGGCGACGGGCCTCATCTCGGATATTCTCGTTAGCTGAGCGTCGGTGCTTGAGATGGTTAGATGATTGTGGTGCGAGTGGAGGAGGTGTTGTAGGTACAGTTGGGACCTATTGGAATAATTCGGGTTTAGCTAAGCATTCTGACTCGGTCTCTTCTTACAAAAGCATATCGAATACAACCAGCAAGTGCAAAGAGGTATTCTTGAAGTGAGAATTTGTCAATTAATATCACATTGAGATTGTAGAAAGCTCTTGACCAAGGTGCTTCAGAAGCCTAATATACCCAATTGCATTCTACAGAAGAAAGATGAATTGAGATTTTTTTAATTCTTTTTCAGTGGCCGTCTTTGATTCTTTTAATCTGTTATAGTTTTTGAATTTTTTGTGATTATTATGCATTTGTTTGTTGTACTTGCTCATACTTTTTTTATTGTTTGTGAATTTTGATATGGTTTATATGCAATTGTGTGTATATTGTAATAATTTAATCAAACTCTGTTTTAATTGTCGATGGAATTGATTGATTACTTATTTATGTTCTCTTATTGCTCTCAAGAAATTGCCATTCCACTGTCAACTTTGAAGTAGAACTCCTTGCTATAATCTAAGAAACAAATCTTTGAAGGTGGTAGTGGTGATGCAGAGAAGAGTTTTAGTTAAACATCAGTTTGGAATTCATTGTCATGAATTTGAGTTGAATGAGGTAGTGGTGATGCATTGGAGGTAATGGTGGTGGTGGATTGTAATGCTGGTCTACGGTATGTACAAATTTGTTTGTGATGACCATTTGTTACGAATTCTGTGTTACTTGTGACCGATTGTGATTGGTTGTGACTAATTTTGTGTTGATTGTGACTTGAGATTGACCGAATCACATACAGTCACACTGAACACAAATTTGGTCACAGTTAGTCACATTGAATACAAATTTGGTCACAATTAGTCACGGATGACATGTGTCAACGAATGAGGGTGGTGGTAGGTGGATCCATGGGGTGTGGGTGTGATTTCCAATTTTTAATTCTCTGAAAACTTTCAAAGTAATCTACTTGAAACTATAAACTAGTGTAAATTTTGATTTATTGAAAATTCTCAAACAATTATCCCACATAGAAAAGTTAAGAAACTTTTGTGTGATTTATATAGTGTAAGGTTGAGAATTGTGTTTGGGTCACAAGGGGTACCAATAGTCTTTGGAAGGGGGGAGACCTATATCCTCTTGGATTCAGTCCAAACCCCACGTGCGCCGCCGTGCATCCGTTCGGCTGTGTGGATTCCTTGTACTATATTATTTTTTGGACAAAATTTATTTAATTTTAGATCAAATTGTAGTTAATTAAATTCTTGGGTACTTAACGAATTTTTTTTATTGGCTTATTTTCTGGTAATTTTTTGTCGGATGGTCTGTTGATTGACTAAACAGCTGGTTGTTTATGCTCTAAACAGTCGATTGTTAATCGAACATTGCTGTCTGTTCAGGTTTTTGGGGGCTATCTGAACAGTGACGACTGTTCTGAAATGACTTGAAGGTTGTTCGAATGGCCACTAACAAGTCTATAAATAGCATGCCCCGCTGCCAGAAAAAATACACCATTTCGTGTGCGGGTACGCTGTCTGTTCGGGTTTTGGGGGGGCATCTTAACAGTTGCAATTGTTTTTTGAAATGGCTTGAAGGTTGTTCAAATGGCCACGAACAAGTCTATAAATGGCCTGCCCCACTACCAGAAAAAATACATCATTTTCATTGCATTCATTCTCTGCTTTAAATCGCATTCCCCTCTCTCATTATGATATTGTTCTCAAAGTGAAAAACACTTCGTTGAATTCATTGAAACTCCTGCAGGTTGTTGTGCTGCTTGCGTAGGAGACGAAATTTGTTCTATTTTGGGAAACGAATGTTGAATACCTTTAGCACCTGTGAAAGCAGCAAATTCGTTTTAAGGAGATATCGTGAACTCGGTGGGCTCGAATTAATATTGTGATCCTGTTGATCAAACGGGTTATGCCGTCCAATTACTTCAAGGTAATTCCGTCGTAATATTCGAATGAGACTTTTATATTTCAGAATAACATTTACTTCCAGTTGGTTTACATCATTAATAAAATTCTCATGTTGTCATGCACGATCATGATAGTACGCGGATGTTCATGTCAAAAACGAATTTTTTTGACTATTCATAAATCGAGTACCCCAAACAAATTAATGATGTTTGAATAGGGTGTTATCGCAGTTTTTAAGGAAGGGAAGATTTATTTAAAAATTAATTACATTGTTATGAATCTTTTTGATTTTATGGAATTTATAATGTTTGGTTGTTGATACATATTTCATTTCATATTGATCAAACTAAGTTAAGCAATTAAGTTTTATATGTCATATAATATTCAAAACACCTTTCGAATCTTACATAATTTCAATTCAAGCTTAAACCAAGATTTAAAAAAAAAAAAAAATTGCCACATA